CCAAGATGGCCAAACTTCGTCTCTCATACTCTGGACATATTGTCAGGAGGGAGCAGTCACTGGAGAAGGATATCATGTTTGGTAAGGTGGAGGGTCAGAGAAAAATAGGAAGACCCCCAGCGAGATGGATTGGCCAAGTGGCAGCATCGATGGGCTCAAGTGTAGCAACAGTAATGAGGTTGGCCCAGGATTGGGCAGTGTTTTGTTCTGCTGTGCATAAGGTCACTATGGGCCGGTACTGACTCGATGGCACCTAAAAACAACAACAATAATTTCTCAATTATTCTAATACCATATATTGAATAATTTTTTCAGTTGTCATTGATATACAATGCCAACTGGACTGCCAACCCCAAGTTGGTGGTTCAAACCCACCAGGCTTTTTGGAAACTTTATACAGGATCACTGTGGAAGAAAGATCTGGTGATCTACTTCTAAAAACTTAGCCATTGAAAGCTGTGTGGAGCACAGTTATACCCTGACTCATGGGATTGCCATGATGGTGACTGGGTTAAAGTGTTAGAAGCATTTCTTTCAGACTAGATATATTTCTTTCACTAACTTTGTTGTTAAATGCCTATAAGTCGGGCCTGACTCATAGGAACCCTGTATAGGGTTTCCAAGGCTTTAAATCGTTGCAGGAACAGAAAGCCTCATCTCTATCCCGCTAACATACTTATCAAGATTTGCAGTAATTTTGGTTTCAGAAGAAGAAATGAGGGATAACTAAAAATAAGGATATTGATAATGTTGTTGTTGTTGTTGTTAAGTACTGTTGAGCCAGTTCCGACCCATAGCGACTCTGTATAGGGTTTCCGAGGAGCCGTTGGTGAGCTTGAACCGTCAACCTTGCAGTTCAAATGGCTTTACAGCCTGGCACATTAACCCACAGTGTCAACACCAGGACTCCATATTAATAACAGTAATGCACCATTGTAAATTGTCAACCGGAAGTGATGATGACCATATTTTCCCAGTATATGGGGAAGCTCTAACCATGTTTCTAGTCAGACACAGCCTCTCGGCCTGTATCCAGGCTTTTCTGTGTAGTGATATGGTGGAACATCAGCAAAACCTAAGGGGTTCCTAGATCTTTTCCCCTCTGTGGCAGATGTGGTGCCATGCTAGTAGTTCCCTTCAAGCAAAGGGAAGAGTTGAGCTGAAAAGCTCACTGAACACTGAAAGCCTAAGAAAATAGTCAACCCAGAGGGGCAGGAATACATTTCCAGTGTGACAATCTTTATTAGATTGGGATTATCGACAAATTGGGAACATGTGGGAATGCAAAGTCTTCTCCTCCATGCTGTTGTTGTTAGGAGCTATAGAGTCAGTTCAGACTCCTAGCGACCTTATGCACAACAGAACAAAACACTGCACTGTCCTACACCATCCTCACAATTGTTCCGCTTGAGACCATTGCTGCTGCCACTGTGCTGATCCACCTCTTTGAGGGTCTTCGTTTTTTTCACTGACCCTCCACTATACCAATAACAATGTCCTTCTCCAGAAGGGCTGATCCCTCCTGATAAACATGTCTGAAGTATGAAAGCTGAAGTCTGGCCATCCTGGCTTCTAAAGAGCATTCTGGCTGTACTTCTTCCAACACAGATTGATTTGTTCTTCTGGCAGTCCATGGTATTTTCAATATTTTTTCCCAACACCATAGCTCAAATATATCAATTCTGTTACAGTTTTCCTTATTCATTGTCCAACTTAATTAGGTTATTGAAAATACCATGGCTTGCGTCAGGCACACCTTAGACCACCACCCATAGCCACAATTACGTTGCCTCATCCCTGAACTAAGAGAGCACTTTGAGTGATTAGGGTTGTGGCACCAGACTCCATCTTAAATTTGGGCCGGCTGTTCTGGCTGAGGTCAGAACTCTGTGTTTGTTCTCTGAGCCTTATCCTGGAAGAGGTTGCATCAGGAGGCCTCCCCACCTCCCCATCTCGTTGCAATGGCTAATGCTTCACTAGCCTTTGGAGACGATTTTGCTTCAGAGGAGAAAGGTTGAACTGGGCCCAAAAGGTGGAGCTTAAACCTGTGTGCAAAATCTGGGAATCTGGATGAACAGAGGGTAGAGGCCATGATGAGGTAAAAAGAGAGGAGAAACACTCCCCCACCCTTCCGGTAAGGAGGCCACTGGCAGACCATCCATCCCCGGAGCTTACATAAAGGGACGTGGATACTGAGTGGCCACAGAGCTGACACTACAGGGTTCAGAGCACCATGAGCTTGTCCTGGCAACCCCGGAATTTCATTTTCTGCTTCTACAGTCTTTTATTGCTCTCTCCAACATGCCTGGCGGCAGTAAGTGTGCTATTCACAAAGCATATTTGTTTTAAATGGAAAGCTGAAAAATAGAAAATATTGAATGAGCTAGTTACATTTCTGTATTTTTATCTTCTAGCTTACACCTACCAAAGAAAACTGCTGTGTCTTAGATGAGAGATTTGTAAGTAGTTTTTCTGTTTCTCTCTTGGTAGTTGATCAGATGAGTAAAAGGTATTCTCTTACAGTGTCATGTGGAACTTTAAACTTTTTTTTTGAAAACATAATCTAGATTTAACCTATTATAATGAATAGATTTTAGGTGTAGCTTTAATTAAAGTTTTAAAATGACTTTCTTGTATTTTCAGGGTAGCTATTGCCCAACTATGTGTGGCATTGCAAGTTTCCTGTCCACGTACCAAACCGATGTGGACAAGGATCTGCAAACTTTGGAAGACATCTTATATCATTCAGAAAACAGAACAGCGGAAGCCAAAGAACTGATCAAAGAAATCCACATCAGCTACAATCCTGATGAACCAACAAGACCAAGTGAGATACGAAAGACTGACTGAGAAAATCATATGTGAAATCCTATAGCTTTTGTTGTTCTAGTTACTTAATATTTTTATCTCTCTGATCTCACATTACAGATATGATCCAGGGTGCTACTCAGAAATCCAAGAGAATGTTAGAAGAAATTCTGAAATATGAAACTTTGATTGCAACACATGAATCAAGTATTCGGTAAGCATTTGTGTTTTCATTTGCTCTCCGGGACTTAATTCCAAGTAAAAGTAATTGTTTTCCCCCTTTACAATATCCATTGGCATTTAACCTGACTATCTTGCACACAGTAGGGTAGGAATCTTTAGTGTAAGATGAATTGTACTGAGTTGCATTTTAGCAGTCACATGGGAAAGTGACCTAGATGTCTTAAATGCTATAATGACCATGCGTACCAAAATATTTGTTTTCCTCTCATTTGTCTTTAAAATATAAATAAATTCAAATTGATGAATTTGGATGTTAAAGTAAAATTCTCTGTTAAAATATGGGTGGTGAGCAATTAGCAAGCAGTGGCATAGGAAGGATCTTGGCTCCTAAAGCAAATGATGTTGACAGTGGAGCATACTAAAACAAACCGCATGGCTTAGATAAGTTTAACAAACATTGTAAAACGACTTGTTGATCATGACACAACAAACCTGCAATGATGTAATCTCCTTGCTTCACTTGGAGGGAGAATATCTCTGTTAACACCTTCTTCAACTTTCTGAAGGTAGGGTCTCATACACAATTTTGTTGTTTTCCTTATTTTTTTTTTTTTTCCCCTAAATTATTCTCAAAGAAGAATGAGAACCTAAAAGAAATTTTTTAGGGGGAGTGATCCAGGAGAAGTTTTTCCTCTTTTGGGTACCAGAAGGCTGTTGTTATTATTATTGTGTTTATTCTTCTTATTATAATGTGTATTACTGTCATTGCTCATCACTGAAGTTGAATGAGACTACTGTGGAGAAATTTTCTGGAGCATAGTAGAGGAAAAAGTGATTAAATAGTCTTTTTTTATCACTAAGAAAGACCCAATAGTTTACACATTGTAGAGAGTTTTCTATAATTTCTGAATGTAGACAACTACCTTGTGAGAAGGTATGAAAGCAAGGTTTTTGCTTTTCTGTCCTTTTCTAAAGCTACGTAAATGGAAAAATGAAGAAGAAATGGAAAATGTCTGTTGTTTTATTTTATGGAAAATAGTGCCTCAGATGCTTTTCCCATTTAAGTTATAGATTGAAGCCCATGAATTGATTCTCAGTAGATCCACAAGTGAGAAGAGATAAAGCTTTGACATGTAATTATTAAACAAAGCCTTTTCTGCTTCTTGATTATCAGGAGGTGCTCCTGATAACTGGCTTCATCCCTTATGTAGGCCCCTTCTGCATAATCAAAATGGCTACTTTGAATGGAGTTTATCTATTGACAAGAACTTAGTTATGTGTGTCAGAGATGAACCTATGTACCCCTATTCTAGGTAAAATGTTCGGGTCAAAATTATCTTCCTGTTTTAACTAATTAAATTATTTTATTATTATTTTCTAAAACACTTAGAATTCTTATTTACTTTAATCTAGTTATATACTTTACCATTTTTCCAAGGATAGAGCCATTAAAATAATGTACTAGGAAGTAATTCTTCAGAAAAGAAGTGTTTTTTCAAAAGTATACAAAATTACTCCTCCAAAGCAAGCACTCTGCTTATATCTTATTCTTTTGCTTATAGATTTTTGCAGGACATATATAATTCAAATACTCAAAAGATTTCCAACCTGAAACAGAAGGTAGCCCTGCTTGAAGAGAAGTGTCAGGAACCTTGCAAAGACACAGTACACATACATGAGGTAACTGGAAAAGGTAAGTGAAAGGTTCATATTGGTATCATGTTCATCAGAGCACATATACTAAGTCAAAAATATTGCATATACTAAAATGCATAAGAATAATTTGGAAAAGATCTAGACATTAAATCTAAAGATTCCAGTTTCTTGAGTTTTGGCCAGGTGGTTAATAGTTTGAAATGGTGATGTGGGATTTTTTTCCTATAAAAAGCATGGCTTGTAATATATTGAAAACTCATTTTCAAGGCTGGTGCATTCTTGCCTGAGATTCAAAGCACAGTAAAAGTTTCTTCCTCTCCTAATTCAGATTGTCAAGACATTGCAAACAAAGGAGCCAAACAGAGTGGGCTATACTTCGTCAAGCCTGCAAGAGCTAAGCAGCAGTTCTTAGTCTATTGTGAAATTGATTCATCTGGAAATGGGTGGACTGTGCTTCAAAAGGTACACTTTCCCTCATCATTTGTATTTAGTAAACACCCACATCATTTCCGCCATATGCAAAACACTGTTTTAAGCACCTCTGAACCTCTGATCACCAATTCATTTAACCCTTCACAACATCCCTAGGTGATGTGAACTGTTATTACTCCTATAATAACTTGCCCAAAGTCACATAACTAATAAGTAACAGAGAAAGGCTTTGAACCCAGGCAGTCTATGCTTTGACTCTGTACCATGCTGGCACTGGAGTAGTAGTTTCTTGATAGCACATAATCCGAGTGACACAGAACTAGATGGGCCCTCTTTTGTCACGTTTATCAAGATCTGAGGTTTCCCATCATAAAAAGATGAAGTTGTGTTACTCTGAAACAAGGGAACACTGTTGTCTCGGCCGCCTCTGGCACCCACTGTACATTTTGGCTCCCTGTCCTGTTTACCTTCTACTGCTGGTGAAACTATCTCTGCAGGGGCAGTCAGGGAGGGACTGAGTGGTGGAAGAACTGGCTGATAAACACAGATTGAGTAAAGTCTGACCATTTCACCATCATGCAAGAGTCAACAATATCACTCTAGAGTCTGAAGTCCTCTGTATTGTCAACAAAATGTTTATACTATTTTTTATTTTAACGTGCACTGATCATTCTTTTTTCTCCTTTTCCCATGCCTGACCCCAATTAGAGACTTGATGGTAGTTTAGATTTCAAGAAAAATTGGATTCAATATAAAGAAGGGTTTGGACATCTGTCTCCTTCTGGCACCACAGAGTTTTGGCTGGGAAATGAGAAGATTCATTTGATAAGTACACAGTCAGTAATTCCGTATGCATTAAGAGTGGAGTTAGAAGACTGGAGTGGCAGAAAAAGGTATTGTTTAGAAAAGACTTCTAACTTTTCATTGTAGAATGGGATGTGCATTATCATTCCATGTGGAATGTGCATTTTCTAACCCTCAATAGACCAATGGCAAAGACAACCTGGAACATGCAAACAGCTTAGCTAACCATTTTCCTTGGGAGTCAATTAGGTTCTTGGTCAATCCCAAAGAGATAGGTTCTCTCCAGGATGGATCTGAATGTTTTGATACCAACTATTATTGTTGTGCTCATGCAGTAACCATTTAGAACAATTGTTGTTCTTGTTATAGGCTGTTGAGTCATTTCCAACTCATAGTGACCCTGTATAGGGTTTCTGAGGAGTGGCTGGTGAGTTTGGACTGCCGACCTTGCAGTTCAATCCAACCTTGTGGTCCAGTGCTTTATCCTACAGCACCACACCAGGACTCCTAGCTAATGTTTTGTGAGCTTCAAATATGTACCACAAATTGAGCATGAAATTATAATCTAATATATACCAAATAATTATTTCATGAAGCAGGTCCTATTAATAATCCTATTTTACAGGTCAAGTTGCCTAAAGGTACATTACTGGTAAATAGTAGTGGTGGCATTTGAATTTAGGGAGTTTGACTCCAGAGCCTACATTTGTTTTTTACCACTATCCTGACTGAAAAAGTTTGTAGAGTCTTGAAGATTTCCCAATGTTTTAACATTCAATCATTTAACCAAATCCAAGAGGATCTTAAAATTAAGTCAACTAACTCCTTTGGTGGGATAAAGCTATCTGGGAGCTTGAAGCATTGCACATCTAATTAAAATAAAGAAATAATCCAATCTTCTTGTCATGTTTACAGATACATTTTTAAAAAATCTTTCTCCAAAGAGGTATTAAAACAAACAAACAAACAAACACATCAAAAATAGTACCATAGCTGATTGACCTTTTTCAGTGAGATTGTCTCCTATTTCCCAAGCGCTAGAGGTTAAGAAAGAAGCTAAATATTTTCTAGAACTTTCTGTTCATATGCAAAGACCAGTTCTTCTTTCCATTCGATAGAATGCTGGTCCTCTTTCACAAGTGTTTATAGTGGAGAATCTCACTTGAATTTTTACAGCTCATGTTCTTTTCTGTTATACTCATGGAGATGCTTTCTCTTGCTATTATCACACTGACTTGGGAAAGAAGAAACCCTTTAGGATTTTATCCTGTCCATGGTATGAATAGCTAATGATGCTGTGTTGTTGTTGTTAAGTGCCGTGGAGTCAGTTCTGACCCACAGCAACCCTGTATAGGGTTTCCGAGGAGCAGCTGGTGAGCTTGAACCACCGACTTTGCAGTTCAAATGGCTTTGCAGTCTGGTGCATTAGCCCACAGTACCTGTAGCTCCTTCTAATTTGGTGCATTTATTAAAAGTCACTGCCAGCTAGTTGCCTTGGTCTTTGAAAACTGTGCAAAACGCTAAAACATTTAAGTAAAGGTGGAAAATGTAAAATCTACCAGATACTTCTAAATACCTTTATTTGCTACTGAGACCTTATTTGTTGTTGTTAAGTGCCGTCGAGTCAGTTCCAACCCATAGCGATCCTGTACAGGGTTTCTGAGGATGCAAATCTTTACAGGAGTAGAAAGCCTCATCTTTCTCCTGTGGAGAGGCTGGTAGTTTTGAACTGCTGACTTTAAGGTTCGCAGCCTGATTCATAACCACTACGCTACCAGAGCAAAAGATATTCATTCAAATGGGTAAAATTTTCTGTTTTCATTGGGATTTGCTCTGAAATCTAGACCCATCCTGGGTGCTAGTGAGCTGTGCACTGGTTCATACAATCATTGTCTCTTCCCAGATTTGTAGAAAATCTCACTCACTGAGCACTCATTCCAGCCTTGAGAAGCAAAGTTAGGAACTAACAGCAACTGTTCTATGGAAGAAGGAACCTCTCGGATCTTGAGAGGGTCCAGATATTGATGTGCCTGTTCCCTTCTTCGCAGTACTGCAGATTATGCCATGTTCAAGGTGGGACCTGAAGCCGACAAATATCGCCTGACATACGCATACTTCATCAGTGGAGATGCCGGAGATGCCTTTGATGGCTATGATTTTGGTGATGATCCCAGCGACAAGTTTTTCACATCCCACAATGGCATGCAGTTCAGTACCTGGGACAATGATAATGATAAATTTGAAGGCAATTGTGCTGAACAGGATGGATCCGGTTGGTGGATGAACAAGTGCCATGCTGGCCACCTTAATGGAATTTATTACCAAGGTATGCCTGTCTTTCTTAGATTTCTGAATTACTATACAATTTATGTTTTTGCAAAAGATAATAAGTAGATACAAAGAAATATGAAATAATTAGTAAATATATTTGAACTTGTACCATATTTGTTGTTGCTAAGTGCTGTCAGGTTAGTTCCGATTTATAGCAACCTTGTACAGTATTTCCAAGGAGCAGCTGGTGGATTTAAACCTCCAACCTTGCTATTCAACCAACCTTGCAGTCCAGCACATTAACCCACAGTACCACACCAGGACCGCCACCATATTATAGTAGTTCTTGATTTGAAACAAGCAATGGATATGTCAAGCTTACATATAAAACTGGTCCTTCTGCAAGAAATCCATCTGTTGGAAAACATCCTGTGGCTTGTCACTATGTCTGAAATGGCCGTTTGGGTTATGGTATCACCTTTAGACATAACATATATATTAATTAGATCGATTAACACTACCACATGAATACTTAATAAGCATATTAGCCTGGCTCAGCTTCCCATTAGATAATGCAAAATACAATTAGTGAGCAAGTGTCAGGAACAGTAGATTAAAAAGTAGGGAAGTACTGGTAAGGATCTGAGAGGAAAAGAATCTAGCCAGAGGAGTGTAGACATTTATTTTAGGGATGGAAAGGATCAGTCTACAGTCCATAAGGCAAAAGTGGTTGTGAAGACTGATTTTACTTATCACCCAACAGGTATGTATGGGAGGCTTTACTGATGTGTGGCTCCTTTTCTTCCTCAGGGCAATGTCATAGCTAGTAGTCAATTTAGGACCACTTCAAAGACTATTTAAATTTATTTATGAGTTTTCAAAACTGTTTTTTTGTTTTGTTTTGTTTTGTTTTTAAGTTTACTAACATCCCATCTACACTTAGCTTATCCATATGACCCCAGACAGCTCTGTGGCTAGCCTCTGGTACATATTAATATTGGAGACAGGCACTGTTTACAAAATCCCATAAGATGTAGTATTCAGTGACTAGGAGAATGCAAAACAACCTAAACTTTATTTTAAAATGGAAATTTAAAACAAAATTCTAAAATAATTTTCCTCAATTTCCCATACTTGCTCCAATTCTCTGGCAAAATTGTGGTTTCAGCTAAAATGAAACCATCTGAGGAGGAATCTTGCAGTGCCTGTCATTCTGGCCTAACTGGAAAAGGTGGTCCATAGTGGCTAAGCTTAGGGTAGTGGTGGTGTGCCACCGAGTCAGTTCTGATCCTGTACAAGGTTTCTGAGGTTGTCAATCTTTACGAGAGCAGAAAGCCTCATTTTTCTCCTGCAGAATGGCTGCTACAGATTTGAGCTGCTGACCTTGTGGTTAGCAGTCCAGTTCATAATCCACTATGCTACCAGGGCTCCTAAGCTTAGGGAGAGAGGTCCATCAGAACTTTCAGAGCTGTAGCCTTTACTAGTGAATAAAATTAAAATATGGAAGTGAAAATGAAGCACAACACAGATGTAAGGCATTGTGCAGTAATGGATTTATTTCAAATGTAAATTGAGGTCTTAGAAATCTTTAGAAATATTTTCAGTTGGTTGATAAGCACTATAAATTTGATGTAAGTGACAATGAATTTCCTAATAGGCAGTTCTTTATAGACTTGCTGTGGTGAAGACATTCAAAAGCAATGATGTACGCATCTCTAATTTGTTTTAGGTGGCACTTACTCAAAAGCATCTACTCCTAATGGTTATGATAATGGCATTATTTGGGCCACCTGGAAATCCAGGTGGTATTCCATGAAGAAAACCACCATGAAGATAATTCCACTCAACAGACTCTCCATTGAAGAAGGACAACAACATCACTTAGGGGCAGCCAAACAGCTTGGGTTTGAGCACCATGTTGAAATAGAATATGACTAAATCATTTTATACTGCTAATTGTTTCCAGAGAACAAATGCCATGTTAACTTTTCCTTTTATTTACTCACAAATTTCAGAAATACTTTGGGAAAATCTTTTTCTGCCTTTCTCTTACAATTTGTATCATTGTAAACCTTTCACTAAGGCTACTTAGCCTTAAGTGGAAATGAAAACTCATTTTAGGCTGTATGCATTTCTCATTACTTGAACTAAGATTTAAAAATTGTTTAAGGAAGAAATATTTTGGTCAATTTCCTCAACATATAATAATAAAATATTATTATGCTTTTTCATTTAATTTATTGTATGTGGTTTTATATTAGTAATGTTTTTTTATTTTTATTAGTTCTTAGTTAATTTAATACATACCAATAAATTAAGAATCAAATTTTAAATAAGTGTTCCTTCCATGTTTATTGCCCCTAAATCATTCATAGTCGATAATTCTTGTTGAATGGAGAGATTATATATTTTATATATTTTCTCTTTTGGTCATAGGCTGGAGACGTTTAAAAGACCATTTCAAATGTGATTTGCTATTTTAAAGGACTTTATCTGAACAAAGAAATAGAACTTTTTTCCCAATGGAACAATGGACTTGTGAAACCTTACTTCATTTTAAGAGTAAAAAGAACCCATGTTGAAAACTCCACTAACAGTTTTATGCTGATAATAATTTTCTACATGTCATTTCAATAAAGATTTTGTTTCCTAAGTCAATATACATTGTGCCTTTCATTGACTTTTGAAAGTTACTTTCCTTCAATTTAGTAATTACAACTACACAATCACCTGTACTTACTGTTGCTATAAAGTACCTCAAGTAGGTTCTGTCTCAAAGTGACCCTGTATGAGGTTTCTGAGGCTATAAATCTTTGCAGGAGCAGAAAGCTTCACCTTTCTCCCGAGGAGCAGCTGGTGGTCTTGAACTGCTGACTTGTGACTCACAGTCAAGTGCTTATCCTCCAGAGTCACAGCATACCTAATACTTACTGAGCCTTCACTTTATACGAAACATCATACCCGACTCTTGGGAATCGCAAAGGAAATAAAAATCATGACTTTTGCCCTCCAGAAGACATGACAAATGCAGATAAATACATAGCACAAAGCGATGCAATTTGATAGAATACCATAAATGAGTACAAGTACAATCACATAACTACAGTGCAAGCTCCCAAAGTGCAAAAGTCAGGTGAATCCCTAATTGGTGAAGTATGTGGTGTGTGGAAGAAGCCCTTTTTTCTTTTTCATTCTGAAATCTGAGGATGTTGAATTTTTAGCACCTAGAGCTCAGACATTGCCAAATTTCTGTGAAGAATAGCTAAACCTATATTATTTGACATAAGGTTGACTTTGCAAAGTAACTGACACAGTTTCTATAGGAAAATTTGGTTGTTTTGAAATCCTGAGCTTTGAATACCTGTCCTTTCTACAACTTCTTTCCCAGTTCTCTAACCTCTTTGGTCTCATTATTTTTTTTATTTAAAAATACCCTACTGAAGAAATAAATCAACTTCTATGCATATAACCAATACTCATAAGGCTTTGAAATATAGAAACATTGGTTCATTGTTTAAGGCATTTGTTGAAGCATTCTCTCAACCAACATTCATTGAAAGCCTTCATTTTACTAGCTATTAGGATGGGATATTGGGGATATAGTGTATAATATCATCTTTTCAGAAGCCCTGTTGGCACACTGGTTAAAGCACTCAGCTGCTAACTAAAAGGTTAGTGATTCAAACCCATCAGTCACTCCATGGGAGAAATATGTGGCAGTCTTCTTCTATAAAGATTTACAAACTGTTGCAATCAGTTCATTATGCGTTGAAATCAACTTGATGGCACACACAAATGACAATAGCAACAGTGATTTATCCCAAGAAAACTTTTTTTTTTTTTAAGAAAACATTTTTTTAAAAAGCAACTCCCTATTCCTGAAATGCAAATATAGCCATGTATTTAGAAACAATGAGAAATTTAGAAAAAAGATAACATGGAATAATGGTCAAGCAATATGATTTTTGTTGTTAAGCTGTTCAGTTGGTTTAGACTTACAGTAACTCTGTGGAGGGTTTCCAAGGAGCAGCTGGTGGTTATGAGCTGTCAACCTTGAGGTTAGCAGTCCGGTGCTGATCTTATAACATCACAGCAGAATAGTACAATGAAATAGTATGCAACAATTACAAATATCTGCAACTGTTCAAATCTGTATGAACATGGAAAGATTTACAGAATAATGGAGTCCTAGTGTGGAGCTGCAAGGTAAAGCTATAGACTGCAAATTCAGTTTGAAATGCAAGGTTGGCCGTTCAAACCCACCAGCTGCTGCTTCTCGGAAACCCTATTCAGGGTCACTATGAGTCGGAACTGACTTGATGACACTTAACAACAACAACAATAATAATCAATATTCTAAGAAGTGAAATTATTATGCATTATAATTATGCAAAAAGTGTATATGCCTATACATTTTCAATATATACATATTATAAATTTCCCCAATTGAACAATAATGAATACATCTATAATACCTATGATGTACAGTTTAATAAAATACTAAAGCACAAAACAAATAAAAATAATCTAAAATTTCTGATTTTTCCTATGATCACTTACCCAATAATGCTTTTGAAATATTAATTATGACATTCTTTTGAAAATATTTTGAAGCCCCTGCTTTTGTGATACGCTCTGTAAATTAGGAAATATAGCAGTCATTGTCAAGCAGGGGATTTTAACATTTTCTTTGTATATTTCTGGATTGTTTGGCTTGTTATAATGAACATGTATTAATTTTGTAATTAATTAAAAACCCAATAATGTATAGAAAAAATAGATGAACTTCAAAATACTATGTTTTTAGTTATTACTATTAAGTGGCAAAAAATAGAAAGGCTACAGTTTAAAGAATTTACATTGTTATTTGCAATCAACTTAATTTCATGTGTCATAACACCTTGTGTGCAGAAAGGAACTGTGCCCCATAAGGTTTTCAGGGCTACAAAATTTCAGAAATAAATCTCTAGCCTTCTACCTCCCTAGCACCTCTGGGTGGGTTCAAACTGCCAACCATTTGGCTAAGAGTCAAGTGCTTAACCATTTTTAGTACACAACAGGGAATCAAGTATGAGGAATGCTTACAGACTCAATTGGAACATGTCTCCACAAATAAAATGGAAACTCTCTTGATAAGTCAACTAAACTATCTGATCCTAAGTACAAAGAAGAGTTGTGGTCTCATATAGATTTTCTTTACAACTCAAATCACAGATAATTACAGCTCAACCCTCACCTTTAATATCCTGGGCATACAAAAACTCATGCCACTGCAAAATGGAAGTGGAGAGCCAAGTACAAAGTGAGGAGTCCCTGGATGACACAAATAGTTCAGCATTCAACTGTTAAATGAAGGGTTTGAATCCACACAGTTTTGTAGGGTTGCTTTGCTTTAAGTGCTTCTGTAGGATAAGTGCCAGACTTCTAGCCACAAGGTCAGTGGTTCAAACCCCTCAGTACTCCTTGGAAACCTATACAGGGTTGCTATGAGTTGGAACAGACTCATGTAACAATGGCATATATGGATTGAGTTCTGGGTGGTGCTGTCATGTATGTTAATTTCAGGTTGTTGTCTGCTATTGTTAGTTCTCAGTTGAAAAAACATCCTTTAGTATTTTTTGCAAAGTTGGTCTTGCTATTATAAATTCTTTTAATTTCTGTTTATATGGAAATGTCCTAATTTCACCTTCATATTTGAGGGACAGCTTTGCTGGGCATATGATTCTTGGTTGGAAATTATTTTCTTTCAGAGTTTTGTATATGTCATCCTATTTTCTTCTTACCTGCATGGTTTTGGCTGAGAAATCAGAGCTTTGTCTTACTGGTTCTCCTTTGTAGGTAACTTTTCATTATTCCCAAGCCACTCTTGGTATTCTTTCCTTGTCTCTGGTTTTGCAAAGTTAGATTATGATTTGTCTTGTTGATTTTATTCTTGGAACTATCCTATTTAGGTTCATTCAGCTTCTTGTATGCTTATCTTCAGGTCTTTCAGGATGTTAAGGAAATTTTCTCCCAACAACTCATCAACAATTTTCTCTGTGTTTTTTATTGTTCCTTCCTGTTCTGAAATTCTGACCACTGGTAAATTACTCCTCTTCAAATCCCACATAGCTCTTAGGTTTTCTTAGGATTTTATCATTCTTTTTTTCTGATTGTTCTTCTAGCATATTTGTACTGAGAGATTTATCTTCAAGCTCAGTAATTCGGGCTTCATTGCTTTGCATCTACTCCTTTACCCTTTCAATGTATTGTTCATTTCTGAAATCTTAATACTAGTCGTCTATATTTCTAATTACAGGTTTTGTATTGTTTTAAAATTTGTGTCTTTTTTGTCTGTTTGTTCTTGTAGTGTTTTCCTGAATTCTTCTAAAGTTTTTTCTGTGCTCTCCTTGGTTTCCTCAATCTTTCTGTCAATCCTTTGAAGGTACCTAAATGGCATTCTTTTGTATTCTTTTTTCAGTTAGTTCCATTGCCTTTCTTCCTTAGAAATGTTTTCTGGCTCTGTGTCTTGGTCATTTGTTTGTGCCAGTCTCTCTTGTTTCTTTATGTGAGTTAAAATTATCTGTTGTCTCTGGAACATTGTGGTGTTTTCATATTTGTGTTGTTTTTAACTGATGATTGTGTATTAATGTGTTCTTAGGCTCTCACTAACTGCCTCATGTGGATGTAATTAGAGAATGGAAGCATGTGCACTGTTCTCTGTTCACCATTTATGCACCTCAGTTTAGGGTGGATTTGGCTGGTGTTGCCTATCATTGATCAAGTGGTATAGGAGCTGGTATTGGTTATTGCACAGTGAGTGGAGTTGTAGAGGGTACAGTTGTGGCTGAACTGTAAGGGCATGGTTGCTGTCTCCTGTAGAGTGGGAAAGAAGAGAAACAACCACTACAACAACATGCACACCAGGAAGCAAAACAGAATAAGTAAACAAACACTTA